CTAGGTCACTCTGTGTAAAGATTCCAGGTAAGTTTAGAATCTGCTGCTAGTTTAGAATGCTGTGCTCAGCATAAGAGAGGCAAGCTTTTCTTATAAAGAGGTTATACCTTTCCATTAGACCAATTGATATTTATCTGACAAAACTACACACGTATTTGCTTGCGCAGCCACCTTTTGGGTTTCGATTATGTTGGTGTATTTGTTGTCCTTGCCTTGATTTGCACCAGGGGAGGTTTAGATTGGATACTAGGAAAAACTTCTTCACTGAAAGGGTTGTCAAGCATTGGAACAGGCTGCCCAGGGAAGTGGTTGAGTCCCCATCCCTGGAAGTATGCAAAAGATGTGTAGATGTGATGCTTAGGGATATGGTTTAGTGGTGGACTTGGCAGTGTTAGGTTTACAGTTGGACTCAATCTTAAAGGTCTTTTCCAACCTAAGTGATTCTATGATTCTATGATTTGAAAGATTTGGTGAATCTTATATAAACTTTGTAGCTCTTTATAGGTGACCCAGATTGCCTTTTTTTGGCTAAGGCTGTGCTAACTAGCTTTTGGTTACGCTGGTTGTTGCAGTAGCCTTTGGTGGATGTAGAGAAGCTGTATTCTGGTGTCCATCCACTGTTTGCTTCCTTTACCAGCATTCAGACATGTCCTAGAGTCTAGACTTTGTGTTCAAACCAAAATAAAAAAAAAGCAGGTTGGTTGAAGCTGCTAGACCAATCTCACTAGTGATGAATTCCACAGATCAATTGCAGCTAAATAGATGTTTTCCCATTCTTAACTTACTTTCTTTAACATAATTTTATTAAAGAATTATATGAGGCTAAGAGCTTGTTTATGTATTTCTTTTCTTGGATATAGTTAAGAAACATAAAGTATTTTGTCTTGGACTCTGTCCTGTCTTCAGTGAAACACTGTAGTTAATATGCATGGGAAAAGATGTTTCATTTTTGAGAATCAAGGCTATTGCTTCATAAATTGTCTTATTGTCTTAAATTGTCATAATATTCTTAAAGAATGTTTCCAAAATATTGGAACAAATAGAGAAATGAGATTATTGTGTCATAGAAAGGAAAGCATACATGAGCATTTGCCTGCTTAATCAGCCCTATCATTAAAACAGCTATGTCAGCATCCTTTTATACTTGCTCCTTGGCTACAGCGCTGAAGGAGAGCGGGACACGCAGGATTTTCTCAGCTTTAGTAGCTGACCTATAAAGCTATTAGAGTCACAGGTTTTAAAACTGGGACGTGGACAGCCATACAAATATTCTAATAGTCTGTGCACCCAGGCATATATATGGAAAATCTGTTTACCAACCACAAGTGACCATCTTTAAAAGGCTGTTTTTTCCTTTTATAAAATCATTATGTAGTACTTGAGAAATACTGTTACAGTGGAAGGATATTTCACTCGTGAATAGGTTTGAATTGGGACCTGAGCAAGCTGTTCCGTGAGGAGTCTGGGAAAAGGAGTACGCTACAAAGGCCTTCACTCCCACACCTCTTTCCAGAGCCAGGGAGCAAAACTGGCTTGCATTCAGGTTCAGTGTAAACTTGGGGGAAAGTGGAGAGTCTGGAAGTCTTGGAGGGCAAAGGAAAAAAAAAAAAAAACAAAACAAACAAAAAAACCAACCAAAACCAAACCCCAAAATCAACCACCACCAAAAAAAAACCCCACCAGCAAACCAGTAAAAACCTTTTACCATGGATCGTTCCTGAAACCTCATGGTAGTAGAGGAAAGTGTAGGAAACAGAACCATCCTTATAGGAATGGTTGTACTACTCTGGTATATTTATTAGGATCCTCCCGGGACATCGGATGGGAAAACATTTAGTATCCAGTGCAACCATTAGGACCTATATGGCCCTGTTTTCAGTGGTTCTGGTACATAACAAGTTAAAATGGCTACTGTCTGTCATTTGCCTCTTATTTTTGGTGGTTGCTTTTAAACAGAAATTTTATTTAAAATGAAATTGTTATACAGCATTATAAGAAGTTCTTCTTGTGCTAGAGGCAGATGTGCACTAGATTAATAATGCACTGTAGCTGAAAAATACTGCTTATATGTTTTAAGCTTTGCCTCTGTAAATGCCCACTTCTGAGGGGTAGTACTTCTTACTTGGAATAGATGTGATAATCATTAATCTTTTTTAGGGACCATAAACTGAAAACACATGAAATGGCACTGGATAGGGAAATTTCTAATTATTGACACATTTTTCCATAGTTAGAGCTGAATTTTGTATTTGATTGACTAATATGAACAGTGTAGGAGATAAATACCTATTGGGACTGCTTGTATTGATGGAGGCTTTTAAACTTGCCAGAATTTAACAAGGCATT